GTAACGAAAGTTTTTAGCGAACACCACTTATGAAATTTGCATTTTATTAATATAGATAATAAAAAATATAATGTAATTAATATTATTATCAACAACAACAACAACAAAAAAGCCTTTATTTAGGGTCACTGACCCTATACAGGATTCACCAGAGGTATGCATAAGAACAAAGCAGTGAGACAAATGAAATAACGATATATACAGAGTAAGAAGAAAAAGAAAAAAAAAAACAAGAAAAGAAAAAAAAAAGAAAGAGGGAAGCAAGAAATCAACACAAAAATTAATATTATTATCATTATTATCATAATAGTCTATGATTGTAGAAATTAAACTCTTAAAATCACGATCATTAAAACAATAATAAACAATAAGAGGAGCTTCTTGTGTAAATTCTCTTTAATACCGCAAGCTTTCGAACAGAACGTTCTTCAACGGGCGTGGATAGTAAAAACGAACTAAGTTAGTTCGTTTTTACTATCCACGCCCGTTGAAGAACGTTCTGTTCGAAAGCTTGCGGTATTAAAGAGAATTTACACAAGAAGCTCCTCTTATTGTTTATTATTGTTTTAATAATAGTCTATGTTCCGGAAAATTATTTTCAATAATATTCGTTAGGCAAACTTTCACTCAGATAAAACCCGGGCGAAGCCGGGTACACATCCGCTAGTCTATATTAATAAAATGCAAATTTCATAAGTGTTTTTCACTAAAAACTTTCGTTACAATGCATCAATTTCGACCAAATTTTCAACATTTATGTAAAACGAGATGGAGCAGGTTTTGCTTAACATCAAAATATTTTTCCTAACTTTAACATGCGTAACTTCGCTGTTATCGATTAAATACAAAAAAAAAAAAATCAACAGAGTTAATTTTATTTATATATAAATACAAAAAAAATTCAGCAATTCATTCAACTCAATCTAAAAAAATATTCAAAACAAGCAATTTTAAGATAACACCATATGTAAAACAGTCGGCCAAGAAAACAACAACGATATTACATCTTTCTCACATATTCACACACAATCTTGATATTAATAATTAAAACTAATCTTTAACATTGTTTATTATACTTCATAATATATAATATTCGTTAGGCAAACTTTCACTCGGATAAAACCCGGGCGAAGCCGGGTACACATCCGCTAGTATAATCTATAGCCGAATGACCCGGGCAACGCCCGTGTTTTACCCGATTGAATGTTTTTATTCAAATACTATTTGTTACAATTATAAATTGGAGCCGAGGATGTCACTCTTGTGAAACGTCCCGCTCCAAACTTTACATGTACATTAGGTCAGCTGGTATTACCCCTCATTTTCACCGCTAGAGGCGCGAGCGAATTGACTTTTTTAAATATACATAATTATAAAGATAGAAGCTTCTATAGAAGATAATGATCATAATGATGATGCGCGCGCATCCGTGACAGCGGCCGATGAGGAATTGAGGAAAGACGGTCGTGACTATATATATTAATAATAATAATAATAATATACTAATAATAATTATTATTATTATTATCATTAGATAATGATAATGATCATAATGATGATGCGCGCGCATCCGTGACAGCGATGAGGAATTGAGGAAATACGGTCGTGACTATATATGTTTATAATAAAATAATAATAATAATACAATTATACGTTTTCATACGTCATCCAAAAGTTAGAAATATTAAATATTTCTCTTTGAAATTAAAAATGATTTTTCATAAATAAAAAAGAAACTTATGCGGTAAAACTGTTTGTATAGCTTTATAATAATAATTATTATTATTATTATCATTAGATAATGATAATGATCATAATGATGATGCGCGCGCATCCGTGACAGCGATGAGGAAAGACGGTCGTGACTATATATGTTGATGAATGTTTGTATGTTTGTTTGTATGTCCGGTATACAAATTCGCAGTAGTTCACTAATTCAAACCAAAATTTCCATACATAGGTAAAAAAAATACGGGGAAGACGATAGGTTATTTAAAAATATATATAAATCAATTATTAAAAATATATATTTTTAGTCAGAAAATGATGATGACGATATTGCTGTATCATGTTTGATTATCAGATACAAAATTATATCGGTAAAAATTCCAAAAAGCAGAGACCACGGGTGAAACCAGTTCATTATTTTGTACGCAGGAACAAAATTCTAACAGAAAAACATTCATTCGAGCAGAAAACAAAAGCCAGATCATCTTTCTATAAAAATATCGCTTCTCAGACACAAAGTTTGGAGCGGGACGTTTCACAAGAGTGACATCCACGGCGCCAATTTATAATTGTAACGAATAGTATTTGATAAAAACATTTAATCGGGTAAAACCCGGGCGTTGCCCGGGTCATTCGGCTAGTATATTATAAATAAATATACAAATTTTTCACTATGACAATATGAACTACAAGAGAATTCTTCAAAGATGAAACTTGCATCATGTGTCGATTTTAAAAAATATATTTTTAATATATTGAAAAATATTTATTTTCAATTTTATCCTGACAGCAAGGGTATAATATGTTTCTAAGAAGAAATAAAAACTAACGGCGACGAGAATCGTTATTTAAGTTTAATAAACTTGGCAAGCTTTCAGAAAATAACGTTCTTCAACAGGGTGTAATACGAATACAAGAAACAAAAAGAGAAATTATATATATATATTATATAAAAATGTTATTTTATTTTAAAATTATAATTTCTAGAAAAGACTACCCTGTAGAGTCGACAGTCAGAGGTCGCCGCTTTCCTTATATAAAACTCATTGTAGTTGTTTCCCGTTGGCCGGCTCAAATATTTCTGTAGATATCTAAATAAGCCTTTTGTTTTCTTTATTCTTCACGCCTTAATTCAGGTAGTACTTTTCTCAAATTATGTATTCTTTATTATCACAATTAAAGCAAATTGTGATTAAAAACCTTTATGTAATTAAATTTTTTACCACGACTGCAATTTAAATACTCATGTATACCAACCTCAAGCAAATGCTCAATTCTCTATATCAGAGTAAGTAATAGTTCTATAACAATAATATTATAAAATCATCAGAAATATTTTTTTGTAATAATTTAACGGACAACCCTTGTATATATATAAAAAGGCAGAAACCAAAAGTCCCCCAAACACTGATATGTGTTTGTCGTAACGTTCAGATAAAAAAATATATATGGCCGAAATTTTCTTTCTTAAAATAATCACGTGAGAAGAGTGTCAGTTTTATATCGAATGTCCAATAAACCAAAGTATCAACAAACAAGACGTTATCCACCAGTAGATTTGAAAGTATCTGTTGCAATGTTTTGAGCGACGATCGTTTACCTTGGCAGCTTCTAAACTTCTAAATATAGATGTAGCACAAATTGACAGACTTCCTGTCTCTCTCTCGTGTGGGCTGTCCTTCTTCTTCAGACACAACTTGATTCCTACCATTACACTCTAGACCGAGTTACATCTTAATAGGCTTCCTGTGTTCAAATAATCATGCAGTCGTGGCCGAGTGGTTAAGGCGATGGACTAGAAATCCATTGGGATCTTCCCGCACAGGTTCGAATCCTGTCGACTGCGTTTTTTTTTTTGTGTTATTATGTCTTTTTTTAAGGTTTAACTATATTCGTATATAACGTATTATATTAAGCTTATAGAAATTATACTCATGGACAAAACTTTAGGTTGTTAAAAGTTCTTTTGTATCGCTGGTCGATTTTCTATTTTTTTTTTTAAGTAGCCAGAGTCCATTTTGTTCACACTTGGTTATCCCGTGTGTCTTTAATAAAGGTCACTGTGTATCAAATTTCTCTTAGAGTTATTGTCTGAATTCCAATATGCATGCTAAAAGATACAAATTCCTTAAGTTTTGTCCATTAAATATAAATTGCAATCCTATTTGTTCTTATAATATACATAGACATTTTTTTTTCCAGCCCAGAAGTCCAACTCCTCCCCTACGTGACGGGCGGGAGAAGCAAGGACTGTCCTGTAGGACGAAATACAGTGTCATGAGCCCCGAGCCGCTACGGTAACCGTGAACAGGGAACTCTGAAATGTGGCTGACTAATGGAGCAACTTTGCAGCCCTCTATATGGCAGACATCAATCCAGAAGAGGACATTCATACGAACAAGGCACCTTTGTTGACTGGTATTGTGATCAGGTTGCACAGACTGATCTGATCTGCTCCATGGACAAGACACCACCAATATACATAAACACCATACATAAAGTTGCGGAAGGATGATATTCAGGTACAAAAAGAGTCACCTCTCCGTTTAATAATGCATTAGAGAGAAAACAATTCATTTATGTTTATCTTCCTAGTAAATAAACCTGACTAGTGGGGATAAAGAAGGAACAACAATACCATTTATGACATATCCTACGAGAGTAGTTATAAAATCGGTCCAATTTACCAAAACGATGTTTAAAGATGTTGAAGTGCCTCTTAGGAATGTTAAGAAATCGAAGAATTTCCTGTACTGATGAGGGTCAAAACTTGGTCAAACCACGGTAAACAAGTTGGTTTGTGTCTGAATTTGCCAAAACTGGTGTTGGGGCTCATTCTTTACTGATCATTAGTAAAGTGGGGGTCGATGGAAGGGTGGTCTAAACCGTTGGTTTTCGACCGCTACAACCCGGGTTCGATTCCCGCATTGGGTACTTTTTTTCTGATTAAAAAAAAAATGCTTCAATGGCCCCCGATTCTTGTAAAAGTCCAACCCCACCAGCGAGTGCAAGTAACCAAACGGGGCTCTGGCAGATTTTTAAGTGCAAAGTCGAACTGCTTTTCACATGTGTAGACAAGTGGTGCACTTACAGTAAAAGCAATCGCCAACTTCTACCCACCATGCTTATCGTAACCTGTACCACGTGTACTTAGGATAATCAAAAAAAAAAAGATAGTATTTCTTTATTATTATTATGGTAATAAACATAATACGTTGTCTTAAGGGGGAGGGGCCTCTTTTGGAACATATACAATATGTAAAAAAAAAAAACGCAGTCGACAGGATTCGAACCTGTGCGGGAAGATCCCAATGGATTTCTAGTCCATCGCCTTGGCCACGACTGCTCGAAAATTTTAACTCAGGAATATATAATACACGAGTATATACCCCCAATATGCAACATGATAATTGGGATTTGAGAAAATGTAAATTTCAATTAAAATGCATATGGGAATGTATATATATATATTCCTGAGTTGAATCTCTTCATGCAGTCGTGGCCGAGTGGTTAAGGCGATGTACTAGAAATCCATTGGGATCTTTCCGCACAGGTTCGAATCCTGTCGACTGCGTTAAAGATTCTCAAATGAAGAAAGTGGATCATTGGGGTGAAGCGGTGGACAAATCGTAAGCTTCCAGGCAGAATGCTCTTCTATTGGTTGAAATGGTGGTGGTGTCTTGTCCGTCCGTGGAAAGAGGAGTTTGCCAAAGCTGGTGTTGTGGCTTTGTCACCGACTCGAAACCGCTAGTTTGCGGCGACGGTCAATGGATGGCGTCTAGTTTTGACGTTTATTTTGACGGGAAAGGCGCCCTATGTGCATTTTTCTCATATAACTTGGTAAATTAGAATATACCCCTCTTTTTTCCTCTACTCCTTGGCTATATTTCTCAGGAGAATGTGTATATAAGATTAAAGATATTGAGTAAACTATGGTCATTCCACACTGACACATGTTCTGGAAATTTGTGAGTGTATAATGACTTTCACAATACTCTTTATATAAAACTAGACGAATGACCCAGCTTCGCCCGAGAATTTCCCCGAGTGCAATTTCCTTCACACTGAAAGTACATCAATAATAAATAGTAGAAGTACCATAGAATAGCAATACAGAAGTAACACATAAACCACAAGCAAAAAGTGTGTGTGCTGGCAAAAATTGTATTGTATTAGTGTTTATGTATTTGATTTAATTATTTTTTGCAATCCATTTAGTTGTTTTAAAATCAATATAGTTTAAATAGATGGCAGCTTTTCCACCCAATCCCCGAGGTACCCGCCCCAGCGCATTAACCCTTGAAATTGCTTGAGTTGAGTGAGTGACTGCGATGGATCTTGACTACGATGCCTATTCCCAGTAAGAATAAGAAAAAATATTAATCCAAAATACTGGTATGTAAATAATTTTCTGTAAAAAAAATAAAAGAGCACATGGAAATTAGGCCAACATATGTGTTTGCTAATGACTGCGACTGCATTTTAAACACTTTTTTTTAAGAGAGAGAGAAAAAAAAAAGGCCAGAGCAAAAATTAATAAAAAATACGAAAGCCATTATTTACATACAGTAACGCTAATTTTGTGATTTTTTTTATTATTATTACATTGTGTGCACTTTTTTTTTTACCGTAACTTAGTAATATAAATTTCTCTTTCAATACTCAATACTCTTGTTAAAAAAAGTAACACTCGTTTAAAAAGATATTTCAAAAAAAAGTACGCAAGCAACTTGAAAAAAAAAAATGCAGAACGCTCATTGGTCGCTTAATTTGCCTGGTATTGTTACTTCACCTCGTATTTACTCCGCGTAAAAAATAAAAGTTCTTCAAATGAAAAAAAATATATATATAGCCAAAAACACTAATCAAAATGTAGCCGAAAATTTTCCTCGGGTTTATAAAAAGCGACATGAAACATTTGGTACCAATTGGTTAGTAGTTTTTGAGTTTATCGCGAAACAGAGATTGACTTTTATATACAAGAAGATTTGTAACAAATATATTTACTGGTAATGTGTTTCTTTTCAATAATATCATAAAATATTATCTCTACAGATCTTACTGCAATGAAAGTTATTGAATGAGATTTCATATCTGTAGAGATAATATTTGATGATATTATTGAAAAGAAACATATTGCCAGTAAATTTATGTGTTGCAAAATTTATCGATATATGGCAATTAAATTTATGAATTTAATTTACTCTTTTATACATTATAGTTTTTGAAATAATTAAAGAAAGTATGAGTGTATGTGAAGAATTGTAACGGTTTTACTCTTCTTCTTTCTTATCTCCAGAGAGATTGACAACAATCATCATTGGGTGAAGTAGAATGCGTCTGCCTCTGTCATTAAGACTGGGAGCACTACTCAGTGGCAGGCCGACTTAGCTCCAAAAGAAATGGCTGCCTCTGACATGAGGAACAGACGCCATGTGCAGCCGCTCCTAACATGGAGTACAGACATCCTGTATCCCTGGATTAGGAGCCCTTACAGGGTACTATCAGCCGGGCCAGCTGAACCCAGGTTTTTTTAGTGAGCTTGTTACTGCTCCTCCTTTTTCATCCGGGCTTGGGACCGGCAAAGGTGGAGTTTACTCTTCTTATCTTGATCAAGCGAAATCTTATCAGTTTCCTTTTACAGGTTTCCATAGAATCCAACAATGTGTTGCATATGGTGCTGTCACGCTTACACATACACATGACCACCTGGACATTTCGCCCATAAATGCCTATCTGTATGGCACATCTTATGGGGAAAAAGTAAAAATGATAAATAATCATTGTTTTGATTTAGGCAATTTGAAATGTATTCCCAAATCCTTTTCAAGACATATAGTCTTATAAATGGATTCGCAAAGGATTCTACAAATGCAAAGAATGAAAAAGTAAAAACTATTTATATTATTGATAATAATGCAGATTATATATATAAAGGAAACCCCAATTGAAAGACAGTCTCATACATATATATATATGTTATTAATATAATGTTTGTTGTTGAAAAAATAAAGAATTGAAGGTACAGTCGTGATAATCAGAAATAGGAAAAAAAAATTATTTACTATCAATTAGTTTTTATTTTCTATTACTTGAAGAAAATTACAAATATTAAATATTTTTCACAGTTATAGAATATATAAAATTAATCCTATATTAGTGAATTTAAAAAAATAAGTAACTTTAACCATATTTACAACAATATTCAAAGTGGTGTATTCTAAAACTATGGTCAAAAAATGTAGAATAGTCAATAATGAAAATAAAATTTATGTTTTTTTGAATAAAATATTTGCATTTATATTACACAGAGATTGGTATGATAAATCCGAGGAAAATAAAAAGACAATATAAAAGAACACGGGTATTTACATATGATATATGCATTCAAAGTCTTTATTAAAACCTTTCGTTTTCTGTAAAAATTCTTTAAATGACGAACGGAGGCTTTAAATTTTCGAAACGGAAGAAACAAAAGAAATAAAAGGTTGTTCCAAAATTTCGTAAACACTTGCAAAAAATTCAAATACCAATATTATTTGCCGTTATGAATAATGTCTTTGTATTATGTATATAAAGTAATTGTCACAAAGCAATAAAGCGCCATCTATACATATAAAATGAAAGTATTTAAAAGCACGAATGTTTCTTTTATACATAATAAAAACTTCTACTGCCCTTACTGCGATGAAAAATATATTGGAAAGGGTTTGGCTCATCAGTGGTGAACCCATTTGTCCTATAAGCTTATGTCCATAGTTTTCTTGAAAAACCATTTCTGAGATTCCATCCTTCAGTGCTGCGTATATAAGCAGAATCGTCTAATACAGTATTAGAGCTCTGAGAAGCGGTCTGGTGGATTAAATTGGCGAAACCGCTGGGAGGGTTCACCACTGATGAGCCAAGCCCTCCCAATATATTTTTTCATCGCACTTAGGGCAGTAGAAGTTTGTATTATGTATAAAAGAAAAATTCGTGCTTTTAAATACTTTCATTTTTTAAAGTAATTGTGGGGTCGGTGGAAGGCTGGGTAAACCGTTTGGTTTTCGACCACTAGGACCCGGGTTCGATTCCCGCATTGGGCACTTTTTTCTGTTTAAAAAAAAAAAAATGCTCCAATGGCCCCCGATTCTTGCAAAAGTCCAACCCCACCAGCGAGTGCAAGTAACCAAACGGGGCTCTGGCATTTGTAAGTGCAAAGTCGAACTGCTTTTAACATGTGTAGATATGTGGTGCGCTTACAGTAAAAGCAGTCGCTAACTACCCACCATGATTATCATGGCCTGTACCACGTGTACTAGGGATAAGCAAAAAAAAAAAGTAATTGTATTATGTATTATTATGTATTCTCCGTAATAATATTATTCGCCAAGTAATAAGAAAAACAAGAACGTTTGGGACAACCTTATAAAAGGCAAGGAAAAGAAAATATTAAAACTATGTAAGGGCATTAATTCTTTTTGTAATTTCTCCGTGAAAATCGATTGATTTTTTTTTTGCAGCAGTCTTACATGAGACTTAGTGCCAGGCTAGCTCAGTCGGTAGAGCATGAGACTACATGAGATAGGGTTTGTTATTATCTCTTCGATATTGTCAATGGTCAGATAACAGCTGCTGGGGTTTCCAAGAAATATCTCCCTTTCTTCTATAAGACATTGTTGTTGTTAGCGGCCATCAAATTGAGTTCAACTTTTGATGACTATATGGACAAATATTTTCCAAATCGATCTTGGAAGAGAGAGAATTAGAAAAAAAATCTAATCAATTAAAGAAACAAATAATACTCTATAAGAGAAAAATAAAACTTTCTACTTTCATCGGTCTCGATAAATTATTTTATCGGGCTCGAAAATCATGCACTTTGGTTAGAAGCCCGTAAAACCATATTGTCTTGTTCGATAAAGTAAAAAAAAAAAACATTTATATAAATCTACTAGCGGATGTGTACCCGGCTTCGCCCGGGTTTTATCCGAGTGAAAGTTTGCCTAACGAATATTATTGATAATAATATTCGGGAACACACAGAATATTATGATAATAATGATAATTATATTCGTTACGTCATATATTTATATAATATATGAAATTTATTTTTCGAGCAAACATATCCACTCTCTACTGAATAGTTTTTAAAAAGATATACATAAATAAAAATATCTAGAGATATAGTACATGATCTTAGCCAAAAGGCCGAGAAACGATATTTTATATATAGAGATGACCTGGCTTCGTGTGTCTTCTGCTCGAGTGAATGTTTCGCTGGTAGAATTTTGTTCCTGTCTACTATTAATCATTATCTGGCTTCGCCCGTGATCTGCTTTAGTGAATATTCTCCAAAAGATTTTT